CTGTGTAAGGGAAAGAACAGTGGCCCAGGAGTGGGATGCATGCAGGGGCTTGTCTGGGGCTTGGGCCTGCACAGGACTTCTCAAGTTGTAGTTTCTCCCTCTGTAAATGGGAATCATGAGACCCGGCTCCCATATGACAGAGGGACTGGATGGGTCCAATGGGAGTGCTGCCAGCTCTTTGCAAGATTACCAAGGCACCACACTTGTTGCCATGGAAAATGCAGAAGGCGGAGGGTCTGAGCTCAGATACTGGCTCTGGCCTGTATGGCTGAAGAACTGGGCACCACCCATTCATTTTTCATAACCTGGTCTGGAGTGGAGATGATGAGCCCCAGAGGGTAAAGGAGGCTTGGCCAAAGTCAGATGTGAAGGAGCTTTGAAATGCAACAGAGCGCTGTCTACCCAGAGGCCATGGTGAAACTCCAGCTTTGGACTGGGCCATCTTCAGGGCCCACCTCGCAACAGAACCCTAAGTGGAAGGTGTATGTTGGAAGAGGCAGGCAGAGGGTGATTATGTGGGTCAGTTCTTGGACAGGCTTCTCTCAGGAAAACAAATGGGCAACTCAAAAGCATACTCTGCCAGTGTCCTTGCTAACCTGGTTGCTGAGTCTGCCTAGCTCCACTCAGAACCCTCCCCGCCTCTGTGGTCTCTAGAGTATTTCCAATTCCACTGACCTGGTAGGCCTTTCCTTCCAACCCTGGGGTATTTCCAAGGATGCTGTGTCCTCTCAATAAAGGAGGTCTGTCCACAGGGGTCAGAACTTCACTGTCACTGATCCTGCTCAGGAAAGACCTGTGCAGACCTGAATGGAGAGGGATTTGCATGGTCAAACCAACCAGCCATGGGTTCATGTTTTGCCCTTGCACAGAGCACTTCAGGGCCTCTGGAACATTTCCCTTCTTACATCCCAGTTCTTTCCCTCTACAACATCCCAGGAAGGAAGAGTGAGCAAGAAATAGAGCAGGTAGGGAGGAGGAGATACAGCCCGTTGGGGGGTGAAGCCCTGGGTGATGCAGAGTACGTCCATGGTGTTGGCTAATTAGACAATATTTATAATTGGGTTTTATATATTTAATAATTTGTGTTTATGTATATTGTATAATTTGTATATATTTAATAATTTGGGTTGTATATATATATTTTTAATTTCTTTTAGTGGTTGATGAACCTTTGTCTTATTCGTTTATTTATATACATTGCTGAGCATCGAACCCAGTGCCTCACACATGTGAGACAAGTGCTCTACCACTGAGCCCCAGCCCCAGCGCTGTATATTTATATATACTTTAAAAGTAGGACTGGCGTGTAGTTCAGTGGCAGAACACTCACCCCGTTGGTCATGGCCCTGAGTTCAACCTCCAGCCCACCCCCCAGTATAAATAAATAAATAATAAAAATAGAGAGATGAGGTTTTTTTTTTTCTGTAATGTTTTAAAGGGACTTGGTCAAAAGGCAGTTGGTTTAATGGAATCTGGGAGAGCTGAAGCTGGTGTGTAGTTGGCCATGAAAACATTATGACCTCTGCCAAGTCTAGCACCATCTCCCCTCCCAGCCTTGGGGAAGGTCATTTCTCCGCAGATGCAGGAGGAAGGAGCTGGACAGATGGTCTCTGAGGATCCACCAGCTTGAATTTAAGACAGTGACTCTTATTTCCTCAGTGACTTAGCCACACCTCCGATTCCTCAGGAATGAAAGAAATGTTGCCACACGCTGTATAGACCAGAGCTGCAGGGTGCTGCTCCCACAAGCATGGGAAAGTGAGCTTGTAGAGATGAAGTGAATTGCCCTGGGTGCTGGCCCATGCCTGGAATCCTAGTGGCTCAGGAGGCTGAGGCAGGAAGATCACAAGTTCAAAGCCAGCCTCAGCAACTTAGCAAGGCCCTTAGCAACTTAGAAAGACCCTGTTTTTAAATAAAATATTTTAAAAGCTTAGCTGGGGATGTGGCTCCATGATTAAGTTCCCCTGGGTTCAATCCCCAGAACACACACAAAAAGAATGAAGTGAATTGAAATGCCACATGCTGTGGCTCACAGAGACGATGGTCCTGGACACAAGTTAAGAATATGTGGAGCCAGCTGGAGCAGTCCCAGCTACTCTGGAGGCAGGAAGACAACTTAAAGCCCAGAAGCTGGAGGCCATCCTGGGCAACAAAGCAAGGACCCAGCTCAGGAAAAAAGGAGAGAGAGAGAGAGAGAGAGAGAGAAAATGTGGAAATGCTTGTTATATATAGCGGGAGAAAAACTATGTGAATAATTTAATTATATTTCATTAGAAATATATATTATTACATATGTTTCAGAGGTCTGTTTAGTAACAGTTCATAGAAGTGCTGTTTTAGGGATAGAATTATGGAACTTGTGTTTTTTGAAAATTTATCTATGATAAACACATTTTTGCTTTTTTTTTTTTTTTTGGTTCTGGGAGTGAACTTGAGATGTGGCGGAGGGAGCACTGAACCGCTGAATAACATCCCCAGCCTTTTTAGTTTTTATTTTGAGATGTGGCCTTGCAGAGTTACTGAGGCTGGCCTCAAACTTGTGATCCTCTTGCCCCAATCTTCCAAGTAGCAGGGATTACAGGAGCACATCACTGTGCCTGGCTTACATTTTGTTATTCAAGCATGTAAAAGTCTATAAAATGTTATTTATACAGTTTTGGGGAGATGAAGAGACCTCACTTAAAAAGACTTGGGGTAACTGTCCCTTCAGATATTATCATAATTCATTTGAAACAGTTTAACATTAAAAAAAAAAAAAAAAAAAAATCCTGACTACTATCTCCACTAGAGGGCACTCTTCTCCAATTGCTGGGGGTTTATTTATTTATTTATTTTTAGGTGTGAATGGACACAATACCTTCATTTTGTTTGGTTTGGTTCCTTTTTTTTAATGTGGTGCTGAGGATCAAACCCAGTGCCTCACATGCAAGGCAAGTGCTCTACCACTGAGTTACAACCCCAGCCCCCATGATGGAGATTTTTAAAGGCAGTTCTAAAGTTTTATTTCAATCCACTTGGGGAACTCAAAACCTATTTATGTTTGCTTTCTTATTTGTTTGGCTTTAAATAAACTTTTTATTTTGGAATAATTTTAGGTGTACAGAAAAGTTTCAAAAATTAGTACAGAATTCCTTTATGCCCTTTGCCAAATTTCCCTAATATTCGCTTACATAACCTTCCTACATTTATCAAAATTAAGAAATTAGCGCTGGTACATTACTTTTAACTAAACCACAGGTTTTGTTTGGATTTCACCAGTTTTTCCACCAATGTTCTTTTTTCTATTCTAGGCTACAATCCAGGACACCATATTGTATTTAGTAATTTTTTTTAAATAAACAAATATACACTAACTGTAATAATCATAAATTACCATTTACATTTTGCATGAATACCTGTATTTTCCCAGAAAGGTGAAGGTTAGTATTTTTATTTAATTTCTCTTATTAGCCACCAGGTGCAGTGGTGCACACCTGTGATCTCCACAACTCAGAATGATGAGGAGGCTAGCCTCAGCAACTTAGTGAGACCCTCACTAATGTAATAAGACTCTGTCTCAAAATTAAAAAATAAAAAAGACGGGATGTAGTTCAGTGGTAAAGCACCCCTGAGTTCAACCCCCAGTGGATAAATAAATCATTTCTCTATTTCCATGACCTTTGTAAGTTATTGAACTTTTTCAACCCCTACTTTACATCATCCGCATTTCTGTTTTTTTGTGGTGCTGTGGAAACACCATTTATGTTCATTCAGTTTATGTTCCTGCAGCAGATGTCGGCAAAAGAGTAATGCTAGCTGGGGGTGTAGCTCAGTGGTAATAAGCATGTGCTTATTAACATCTATGAGACCCTAGTTTCATCCACAACATCCCACCCCTCAAAAAAGGTGAATGCTGGGGCTGGGGTTGTGGCTCAGCGGTAGAGCGCTCACCTAGCACCTGCAAGGCCCTGGATTCCATCCTCAGCACCACATAAAATAAATAAATAAAATAAAGATACTGTGTCCAACTACAACTAAAAAATAAATTTTTTAAAAAAGTGAATGCTAAGGAATTGCCACTGATTTTGCTAGATATAATCACAGCATTATGCTTAGAACTTTTAAAAATGAGTTTTTATCTATGAGATACATTCTAGAGTAGTTACAAATGAAATTATTTACTTTAAAATACTTTAGCAAATGAAAAGATTTGGGCACTAGATCAAATAAAATGGATTTATCCATTAGTGTTCATTAGATTACTCTTTTACTTTTCTGTGTGATTGAAAGAAGCTGTTTGAAATGAAAATTTGAAGGAGTTGAACAGCAGAGTCTTTGTTTTCATGTGACAATGACCCCAGATCTTGTGCACAGTTCATATTGGCAGCTAGTAAGGTTAACAGATATTTCACAGATCAGCCTAACACGTCTGCAGTCCCCAGCTCTGTGTCAGAAATACAGGGCTCCCAGGCTGCGCAGGCGCGCTGGAAGAGGGAGCGCTGACCTTGGTGCCCGTGCTCCAGGAACTTGAGTCAGACATACTTGAGGCTTGGAGTAGAACCAACCCTGCAGTAAATGCTGATTAAAACTGAATCTTGGCTGGTAGCAAACACCCCGTATTTCAAGGTGGGGATTTTATTTGCATCTCTCTTTCTTAGTTTTATGGGTTTGTGTTGAATCATCTCAGCCATGTGGTTAGCTTTATTATTATTATTACTGTCCCTAATAACACTAATTTATAGTAATATTAATTTAAAAATCTCTACAGTCATTTTTCCCAGGGCCTGCAACCCTTTTTAGTAATCGTGATTATTCTTTTGATCATTTAACTAACCTGTCACTGCTAATAACTGCTGCTTTTCTGCTTGCTGAAATTGGCTGTCCCTTTGCCTCTAAACCATCTGAGGGTCTGTCTCCTGGCTCCCTGAGCAGATGGGCTGGCACTGAGCTCTGCTCTGCTGTGCTGTGTGATGATAGCAAAATCAGTCCAACATTTTTCTGTCTCTCTTTTTATCCTGCAGCAGAAGTATTGGGAGGCCCTAAACTCGGAGCAGGTATGGACAATCATGCTGTCTCTCTCTTCCAGGAGGGACTTCTATGGCTTGATTTCAGCTTTTGTTTTTGTTAGAGGCTCTCGGATGATGGCACATGACAAAATCCATTAAAAAAAAAAAAAAGATGTAAAAAGCAAGAGACAAGTTTGAGGACTAGCCGGGCTCTCTTAGTTCAGAGTCTTTTGCTTTGGGGGTATTCACATAAGCCCATACTATCCACTAGGGACTCAGAAAACAGGCATAACCCAGTGAAGATCCATGGATTGGAACAGGGCCTATGAGCAAGCGAGAGTCGCCGTAGGTCACCAATGGTAGTGCTGGTGTGACATGGCTGCAGCAGCTGATATGATAAACAGTTCCACACATTTGTCTTTCTGAGACCTGGGGCACCTGGTTGCTGTCACCATGCCATCTTTGCCTCGCAGTAGCAGATGAGCACGTGTTTTATGACAACTGCCTGTGCCTGTCATCTCCCAGGATGGTTTCTGAGAGGAGAATAAATGCATTATCTTTTGTTCAAATTATTTTTATGACTGGTTTCCCACAATATTTTTATTACTTAAAGTGAAGTTTTAACTGGGCACAGTGGCACTACCTTTAATCGCAGTTACTTGGAAGTCTGAAGCAGGAGGCTCACAAGTTCAAGTCCAATCTCAGCAATTTAGCAAGACCCTGTCTCAAAATAAAAAAATAAATAAATAGGGCTGGGGATATAGCCCAATGGTAGAACATTTGCCTAGCATGTATGAGGCCCTGGATTCAATCCCGAGTACCATGCGGGAGAAAATGAAGTTGGTTTTTTGTTTGTTTGTGTTTCCTTCCTTCTTTTCTTTTCTTTTTTTTTTTTTGTACCAGAGATTGAACCCAGGGGCATTCAACCACTGAGCCACATCCCCAGCCCATTTTATTTTTTATTTTGAGAGAGGGTCTTGTCAAATTGCTGAGTGTGGCTTTGAACTTGTGATTTTCCTACTTCAGCCTCCAAGCCCCTGAGATTACAGATGTGGCAATAAATGAAGTTTTAAAACATATTATTCAAAAGAAAGGGATTTAAAATATTGTCTAATACCTAGTTCATTTCAAAGAGTTCACTTGATCAAAGTGGCAGGTTGTTTCTGTTTGCGAGCAGCTGATTTGGTCAGGATTAGCAAGAATAACTTTTAAGAAGTCATTTCAGCAGTTGGAGCCATAGTTCTCAAACATCAGAGCATCTAAGAAATATCATAGGAACTTGTTAAAATGCCAAACCGCAGGCAGGAGCTGAGGTGAGTCCTCAGCATCAGTCTTTTTGAACAGTAGCCCAGGTCCTTCTGGTGGGGTTGGTCCAGAGTACCTTCTGAGAACTCTGATGTAGGACCCAGGCTTCAGCTCCAAAACAGCCTTCATCAGAGAGCACACTTCCATCCTCTGAGAATGGAATGGGCCCATACTTGGCCACTGGGCAAGTGGGTCACAGAGGCTGGCCAGCGAGCTCTTTTACTTGGAATCTTTGATAACATCAGGGAAGAATTTACTTAAAGGTGTCCAGCCAAGTCTATAACCACAAGTAAATAAGGAGTTCACACCAGGAGTGGCTGTTACAGCGGGCAGAACTGCATCAACTAATCCAGCTCATCCCCAGGCCTATAGGGTCACTGGGGTCTTTTTAACATGATGGGTTTTTAAATCATCAAGTAATAGAAGTTGGTTCAATTATTATCAGTGAATTTCTAATTGAACCAGCTTTTCTTTTCAAAACAGAGACATAATGTGTGTTTTATAACTGGCATGACATGGATGTTATTTGGGAGACCTTATTTGGGACCTCTAAGAACTAGACTGTTTGATTCAGCTCAAGTTTGAACATCTGGCAGAGTGTCTTTGTCAGACATAAATCTGGGGTCTATGACCTCTGTCCAAATACATAATCCAGCCTAGTCTGCCACATTTTCCATCACTGTTGCTTGTTTCTGTGTTTCCCAGTACTGTCAAATGTGACCTCATGGCTCAAAATCATCAGTCATAGAGGCTCAGAAATGGAAGAGGTCTTATTATCTAATTGTTGATCCAACCCTCAGCTTATGTACAGAGAAACTGAGGCCCAAAGAAGAGCAAGCAAGTTTGTGACAGAAGGAAGACTTGGCCCAGTCCCCACTTGCCTCTGGAGCTAGAACATACATCAAGGGTAGCACTAAGAATCCCTTGGGTCTTGACCATGTGCAAAGTTCTCTCTCTAATCCATCATCTGCATATACCTTCATAAAGGCTATGTTCCAGCTTTTTTTTTTAACTTTTTACCCTTACCCTTGAAAATTTCAATTTTCCATACTTATCTGAGTCAGATTATGAAATATTAACTGGCAGTGCCCACCATTCTGAATTGGGTTTTAAGTGTTTATTTTTTCAGTGCCAGGGATTGAACCTGGGGGCACTTAAACCACTGAGCCACATCCCCAACCCTTTTATTTTTTGAGACAGGGTCTTGCTAAGTCTCTTAGGGCCTTGCTAAGTTGCTGAGGCTGGGTTTGAACTCATAATCCTCTTGCCTCAGCCTCCCAAGCTGCTGGGATTGCAGACATGCACTTATACCAGGCACAGTGGCTGAAGTGTTTATTTTTAACAAATCTTCTGGACCTCAAACTGAGAGAAAACACCAAGTGAGAGCCCTGCTCTTCAGGAGTTCATCATCTCCCTAAGAGAACAAGGCAGATGTCCAAAGAAAGACTGAGGCCATCCATGTGCAGGTACGGATGAGTAGCAGATGTAATACTAAGAAAGGAGCAGGTGCAAGTTCACTGGGCTAACACAGCCAAGGCAGGCTTCCTGCCAGAGGAGGTATTTCCTCTCAAGAGTGGGTTGAGGCCAGGTATGGTGGCACTTGCCTCAATCCCAGCTACTCAGGAGGCTGGGGTGGGAGGATGAAAAGTTCTAGGCCATCCCAGGCAACTTAGCAAGACCTTGTCTCAAAATAAAATACATAAAATAAAAAGAGGGGCTATAGGTCACCAGCAGAATGCTTGCCTAGTACACATGAGGCCCTAGGTTCAATTCTTAGCATCACCAAAAAACCAAAGAATGGGTTTTTATTGGTCTTTTCCAAGAATGAATTAGGCATGGAGGTAGACATTTTCAAGATAAAGGGATCGTGTCTCAGACTCACTAGATAAGAATTTGCTGAATATGGGGGACAGTAGAAAGGAGGTGGCAAGGGAAATGGGGCTGGTCTGTTCAGGGTAATGGTTCATTAATTCCTTGATTTAAAGGTGTACTTGCTCCCTTTAGGTGCAGGAAACAGAGGCCTGGTTAACTTGACCTCGCCCAGTTGTCCTTATCTTTGCCTGTGTCAGAACTAAGATTGAGTTGTTGTTTAGGGTGCGGGATAGTAATACATTGAAAGGACCTGTCCCACCAAAATATCTTTGTGTCTTTTCTTCACAGTGGGATCCTGAAGATGTCAATTTTGAAAGGAACAATGACAACATGGAGACCTTCAGATTCCAGGTGCCGAGGGGCTCTTCGACGACAGTAGACTTGAGCTCTGCTGATTAGTATCTTCTAAAAACCAGTCCATCAGCTCAAAGACCAGGATGAGGCATTCATCAGTAAAACTGAGCAGAGATCGGACCTACAGTGACACCCATAGCAGGGATTTAAGCCACTGAAGAAGCTGCCCAGGGAAGTGAGGAACCTGGAGCTGAGCGTGGCTGGTCTACCTGGCTCAGAATAAATCTAAGATTGTGGGTTCTATGGACAGACCTGGATATGCCATTTGTTCTGAAGATTAGAAGCTCACAGATGGCTCCTGCTTTGTAAAGATAAGCCTTCATCCAAAGGACAATGGGCCCTCTTTTCCTGTCTTTCCTTTCCTTCTATTCCCATGAAATGCAACTGTAAACTCAGTATCTGCTGGATGCCAGGAATGAGTTCACCTAACAAATAGCTCATGTGTTTGGACCTCAGCAGAGCCTGTCCTGCAAGCCCTGGCTTCTGCCCTCCAGTATCTGCTGGAAGTTATCCATAGGACTGCTTGGTCAACCAAGTATCTGTGAGATCAGTGGTATGGCAAGCACAAGCAAAAAAACAAAAGAATGGGTTTTTATTGGTCTTTTCGAAGAATGAAAAGCAAGAGAACTTCCTCCAGCCTGGCAACGCGTGTGCGGAGGCAGGGTTTACAGGTGAGGGGCACTGTGTGCTTTAGGAGGTCACTGAGAGCATACAGAGGGTAATAGGTATGCTGGGACATGTTAATTCAAGCACAGTAACCCCATTTGAAGATGATTGGTAGTATGATCACATGTGAGGGGAAAGGTGAAGGGAATGGGGCTAAGGTCGGAACCACTAGAGTGAATAAAATTTAACTGAGTGAATCAAAGCATCTCACACTGGAATATAGTGGTAAGTCAGAATCCCAGCAGAGCCACAGAAGTCTGCCATGAGGGGGTCTGGGATAAATGCCAAGAAACACAGCTCTGCTGATGGCTGGCTCACAGTGACCTGTGACTCAGCTGCAGCTGCCCAGTTTCTCCTAAGGGCATGTGCAAGTCCCGGCAGCAGGAGGAAGGGGGTGCTGGGAAAGTGGGTTGGTTCCACAGGTCTCTGCATAGATCCTAATCCCCTGGGTGACCTCTGAACTAGCAGAAAACTCAAAGCTACTTTATTTATTCCATTTATCTGCTTTGGGTTCCTGGTTGTCTTATCAAAGAACGATTGCTAAAGGCAACTTTGTTTTGTGGGGTCTTAGCCAATGTAGCTATACTTTGAAGGAGGAGGAAGAGGTGAATAGAGGCCCAAAGCAAAGGAAGTTGAAGGGAACATGCCAGTAAGTGAAATGGTAGAAGCCTGGGGGCAGGGAAGGGTGGAATCTAGTTGATGGTGCAGTGTGGATTGTAGAGGGTAGAAGACACTGGAAAGGAACTGGAGCATGGAGGCTAGGGAGTGGGTGCTTCAGTCTGTGGCTGATGCTAGCCATGGAAGATACCAAAGGGTGACTGACTTGCTCAGGGGCTCAGATACTCAGTGAGTCTTTTACTTCTATTGCCACAGCTTTTCAGGAAACAGAAATGTATAGTCATGTATGGAGTGAACATGGGGAACGTGTTTCATTTAAAGACTATTGAGTGGTAACCGCAAGCAGGAGGAGGGATCAGCTTTAGAAAAGCAGAAGGCATAGGGATAGGATGACATTTCTGAAGTTCATGTTTAGCATGTGCACACACACTCACAAACATTTTCTCAAAGGGAGATTGGATCATGCTCCCTGGGGTATCAGAATCCCTTGAGTCCTCATAGGAATGGCCATTCTCAAGAACACTAAATGATCTTGCTGCCTTGGAGTAGCACAAACTATTTCAGCTCCAGATGTTATTTATCTCCCTATATCCTATCATCCCAGTCTTTTCTCTTCACAAACCAGTTACTATCATTATGGTCCCAGATTGTCTCAAGTCTCTTCATCCACAGTAAACCACCCTGGGAGTTTAGGAAGTAAAGTTTGGCTTTACTGTTTAGTGAGAACCTGCCTGTATGCAAAGCTCTAGAACCCCAGGACCTTTGTAAAGAGGTACCAACCAAAACGACTTTCTCCTAGTAGGAGAGCAGCTTCATTTTTAGCTATTACTCTGGCCACAAAGACTATGGAAGGTCCTTGCCCTGAGGACCCACTAAGCAGTGCAAAGAATTACCTCCATTGGAAGGGCTGGGAACAAACCATGCAACCATCCTATCCAGAGAAGAGATGGTGTAATATGTCTTAATTGTCTTACCTATTATCTACATGGCCCAAAGCATGTTACCTAACCTTTGTGAACTCTTAAGGCAGACTAGGAAACCTCCCTAGAAAGCTTACGGTAATGACTAAGTGAATTAACATAAATGAAGTGCATTATACCTGACTAACAGCAGATTTTGAAGAGTGATTAGTTTCCCTCCTCCCTATATTTTTGGACACATGTGCTGAAAGACAGTGAAACCAAAGAATCAGATCCACAGATGGAAGGGATTTCAGAGATTTGGATCTCCTTAAGAATAACCACAATAAGTGATTATCCAGCCCCTGCTTAAACTCATCTAAAGAAAACAAAAACAGAGATTTCATCTGCCAAAGAAGTTTGTATAACTTAGGGAGAGTTCTGATGACTCTAATTTTCTAAAGAGCCTGTATAGAGCCTGAAGAACTAGTTTTCTTATGTCCCTCTGATAATTCAGTAAATGCATCATCTGATGATATATTCACATCATGTTTGTTACAGTAGACATGAGCTATAGTTTAAGGAGAGGCATTGGGCCAAGGAGTATGATGAGGCTCCATTTCCCAGGTCTGATTCAGTGTAATATTTGTCATTTCCCTTTCTGGGTCAGTCTCCTCATTTATAAAATGAAAGCTAGGTTAGATTTATTTCCTTTTTTCTTTTTTTGTGAATATGCCAGTTAGTATGTTTCCCACAGACAAACGGACATTTTTATAAACGCTCAGAAAAGAAACATAATTTTAAAGACAAATTTCAGATATGCCTTGAAGATATCCATTTAAGATGAATACTGGTGCTGGGGTATGTGACTGGCATGTGCAAGGCCCTGGGTTCCACCCTCAAAACACACACACACACACACACACACACACACACATACATACACACACACTCCATTACCATACTTCCCAAATTCTCTGCACTCCTTTTTCTGCCCTTTACCATTCTCCTTCAAATTTTCCAACTATGCAGGCACTGACCTATTCTCTTCGACTTTGTTTTTTCTGAAGTTAAGGTCAATGCCCTGGCAGAGGTGGCTGTTTTGAATGAACCCAAGCTATACTGCAGTGCCCAGGAAGAACTCTTCAAGAAGTTTACATATGCCTCTCCTAGTATTCAAGAGTCATCATGTGAGAGGGACGATCTTAAGAAGTTCAAGAACGATACTAGATAAAATTACTTAGAAGTCTAATCTGCTTTTTCTTGATACCTAACCTTAAAGCCAAACAAACCATGGGACATTCGGGACTGCTCCTTTCCAGCAGGGCAAGTCATTAACCAGCGTTAAGTTTCAAGAACCTCCGTTGATTGATTGCCTGGAGAATTCGGCACGCCCTCCCAATTCCCTAGGGCATTTTCCATCAGCGCTGGGTACTGGCAGGAGGCTCAGGTCTCCTCTTGCTAGTCCTCACTCAGGGTCTGCAGCTGTGACGGCTGAGGGGTCTGTCTCCTGCAGAGCGCCTTCTCTCGTCAGTCCCCAGGGGGATCGTTCACAACCGCCTGAGGGCCAGTCGATGGCCTCCCCCAAAAGAAGGGTGGTGGCCCATTGTCCATATGAGTGGGAACTGAACCACGTCTCCCCACGCCTACCTCTTGGGAGAACCGGCCACCGGCAGACAGCAGGTAGCCCATTCAAACCACTCACCTCGTACTTCCGGGAAGAGGGGAAGAGGCGCAGCCCTGCGCGTGCGCACTCCGCAGCCACCGTCTCCCGAGGGGAGTGCGAGTCCCGCCCCCGCGGAGTCCGCGGCTTTCGGGCTCCGGCCAGCGCAGCCGCGGCCCGGGAGACCACCAGCGGCTGGTAGCTGCTGTCAGTCTGTCTCCTCTGAGTTTTTAGGGAGTTAGTCACATAGTTATTTTTTGGTTCCTAGTGTAGTTAGGACCAATCAACAGACTTAGCCTGCACTGTAAACCATTCTTTAAGTACACTAAAAAAATTTTTGAAATAAATATAATACAGGTGCGTGGTTTAAAAAAGAAAATCAGATCCGACCAAGTTTATGAAGAACAACAATTCCCTGGCCCTCCGTTCCCAACCTGCTTACTTCTTTCCTTCCTCGCAATCACACTTGCTCATGTTCCCAAAGTGTTTTGTCCAACTGTCTTCTCCATTGATTTTTTGTTTTGTTTGTTTTGCTGGTGTGAAACCCTGGGCCTCACACAAGCACATAGGGCTCTATTAGTTTTGAATTGGAACCCAGCTGCTGTCAACAAAGTTCTAAGATTATAGTTTTTTAGCTAAATTATCTCTAACTTCCATTAACTACAGGCTAATGAGGTGCAGTAGGTGGGACAGGGATACTGGCATGTTGAGAATGGTGTTAAGAACTGTCTACACATCTGTAGGTTACTGCGGAGTCCTCTGTACCACTAGAACCCAGTTTCTGAGTCCCAGGTTACTGGATCTGAGCCCACTCCAACTGACATCTGCCTTCAGGACAGCCTGGCAAGTTCTACCTATCTACTCTGGATTTGACCTTTCCCTCTATCCCTCTACCTCTTCTCCTGCAGATATCTTAGCCCTTGGAATCTCCTGTGGAAAACAGGGTTTTCTAACCCCACCACCAGAACAAAGGACTGTATACACTTTCACCACCACAGTCTTTCCCAAGGACAGCCTGGCCACGTGTGAAGAGAGCCATTTCATAGGCCTAATGTTTTAACCATCACACTTTGTGAAATGTGTACCCTAAAGCTCTGATATTCAAATATAGGTTCTTAAGCTCCAGCCTAGGTCTGGACAGGGCCTGGGAATCTTAAGCTCCTCAAGTGATTCAGTCACAGAGGATAGAGGACCACTCTTTGAGAAACACTGTCCTTAGGAAATCAATTTAAAACTGATCTATTTGTGTAAGAAGATGTTCCCATGAAACTACTTAAAATAGGGGGGGGGAAGTGATAAGTACCCCATGATTGGGAAACATTAAACATTACACCTTTATTTTTTTGTGTGTGCAGTATTGAACCCAGGATTGAACTCAGGGGCTCTCTGGGCTAAGTTACATCCCTAGCCCTTTTAATTTTTTGAGACAAGTTCTCTATAAGTGGCCTGGCTGACCTCAAACTTGTAATCCTCTTGCTTCCCAAGTGGTTGAGATTACATATGTGAGATATCATGTTCAACTAAATAGTATAATTTAATGAAATTACATTTTGCCTTGAAGTCTAAAAGATTGTGGGACAATAAACTGATGCACATACCTGAATTGCCTTGAAATTATTTGGTGCGATGCCAGAGTGCAAGTTATTCTGATAATGAATTTCTAGTTCTCACATGGTGAAAAAAAATCCTTTTAAAAAAAAATTTATTGTGGTGGTGGTTATAAAGTTGTATGTATGTTTGAGCTTCTGAGGAGGCAGGATTGAGACACTGAAAGGCTGAACCAACTCCGCGTGAGCAGAGTGGCAGAGGATGTTTTTGATAGCACCCCTAACCAGGAAACAGATTCCTGTGGGCAAGCAGTGACTCACCCCCAAGTCTCAGTGAGTCAACAGTGTCCTAAGGGAGCCAGGGCTGGCAGCCTTCTGCTGCAAGGGATGTAAGCAGGGCCTAGACTTAGTCCAGGATATCAGTGTGACAGATCAGGGG